TTTTAGAAAAAAAAAAAAAAGGGTGGATCTCTGCTCAAGAAAACAAACTTAAAGAGTTTAGCCTTTTTCAGTTAGTGTGCAGTGGGTATAATGACAAGGAGCTTGCTTAGAAATGAAAGAAAAAGGTGTTTTCTTGTAACTATGTACATTCCCATTCCTTACAGTAATAACAAAGAATTCTTTGGTCATCTGAATGTTAGAGCTCTAGTGAAACATATATCAGTGTGAATAAAGAGATTCCTTTTCTTCTGAATCCAAGTATTAACTAAATACAAATACCAAGATAGAGATTACATTTAACAACACTGATACAATTTGCCTTGTGCCGCATTAGAAGAGCATTTATGCAACTACAAAAATGTGGGAGGCTGCAAAGGCCTATTGAGACCCTTGTCTATTGTAGAAAAGATAGACCAAATAGACCTTTTGTCTATTGTAGAAAAAATTCCCATTAAGGAAAAATAAGGTGTGAAAAGTCACAGTTGAAAGAGAGAAGTAGGGAAGTATATATGAATCTTATCAAGATGCAACAGATTTAGCAGTGATGAAATTAGCCAAACATAAGTACAAATTAAATCACACCTAGGCTGAATTAAGTCAGGTGAAAAATAAGGAAATAACAGTGCTTTGGCTTCTTTATGGCATCTTAAAAGGCATGTCAATCCAGATCAAGTGTTGACTGTAGCAAAGTTTCAGCTTGTTAGTAGGCACACAACAAATTAATCAAGAATGTCAACTGTCCTGCAAAGAACTCTATAATTCAGCAGCCTCTTCTAGTAGACTCTAGTCCATTTACTCTTGCAAGATATCATACTATGCTATCAACCATGAAAAGAGAAAAGGTGGTTTCAATAAGCTAAAAGACGGTTCAATAAAGCAGCTGAAACCTCAGGCTGTCACCACAGGAGAATGACAAAATGAGTTTTTAAACACAAGCATCCACAAACTTTGGAATTAAGTTAGGCTTGAGGTTTTGCATTACTGTTTCTGAAGAGAAGCACAGCTGTTGAATTTCATGTCATTTTAGAATAAGAAATGTTACTTTTTTGTGGGTGTGTTAACAGTAGAGATCTTGGCTATTGCGTAAGGAAGGGAGATTGTTACCACGTGTATTAGGATATTTTGGGTTTTTTTTGTTTTCATTCTTCTAGCTTCATAGACTGAGCAGCTAACAGCTGGAGCATTAGCTGCATCTTTACACCTGTTTAACTGATACAGAGGAGGAGCTCCATTTGCTTTCAGAAGGAATAAATCATTGCTACATGTACACAGATATATACATGATTTTATGTGGGGAAGCCTCAGATTAGCTATAGTAAGTGGGTGAAACTTGGGAGAAGACTCAAGAAATGCTGAATCTTAAAGACCTCCATTTTTTTTCTGAACATAGGCTATGATAAGTCTCAATGTTATGGTCTTGCAGAGCTCCTGCTTATGAAGCAGTTTTGTAAATGTGAGGTTCTTTCCAGATCCAGGCATACCCTGCAGCTATGGTTGTGATGATGTCTTTCAAAATGTGCCTCATTCTTGTTATGGCAGCACAGAAGGACAGAGCCCTGGGCACAAGGCTCTGAGTGTGGCACTGCACAAGCCTTTCAGTTTACCCTTCTAGGATGTTCTATGTTTCTAATTGCAGTGCAGTTTTTGAAGCGTTACTCCAGCCGCCCTCTTGTCATAGCAGAACCCATTTGTACAGGTTTGATCCTATGTTCATTCAGACAACAGAAATAAGTCCAGCCATAACTTGTGATAGGTCAGCTCAAAATCACCTCAGTGGTTTGCAAAGGTGGTAAGAGCTGTCTGAGATGTGCACAGAGTTGCATTTGTTGCCACAGAGTAGAACTGTGACTATGTGGCTGTTGCTTGAGTTGGGTTTATCTCTCACATACTTCTGCTGAGATGGCATTCTTCTGTAAATCCAGTGGCACCAGGTGGAATAATGTGTCGTGAGTTATCCCCTACACAATAATGATGGAATATGACAGTAGCTTGGAATACTCTTAATATGCAAAATGTTGGCAAAGGGATTGGCCTTTTAGTGCTGACTGCTGCACCTAAACAAGGTTCACCCACTGTAAAGTGTCAGCGGTCCCCCAGTTGCAAACGAGGAATGGCAGGGTTAAAAGGAGTGCTCTCATTTGTACTGGGCTTAGAAATGTAGCATTGATAGCTTGTTTGAAGGAGGGGAAAACATAGAAGAAGTAATTGTTATGAAAAACATAATCCAAGCCAAAGTTGTTGGGATTTTTTTTTTTTGTTTAGGAAAAAAACCCCCAAACTTGAAGGAGAGGAGAAAAAAAAATGCAGATAATATGAGAGAAAAGGTAATAAAGGTAATGCAACCTGAGTTAAAACCAGACACAATGAAGTTTTGATGTGGCAACTTTTCATCTTGCAGGGATGCTATTGAAGCTGCAATTCTCGTTGCTGTGGTGGATCCATTTAGGTCTCATTGTACTTTGCATGTTACATATCAGATTTTATAGTATTGGAGACTTATTCTGTGCATTTTTCTGGTTTGTTTTTGTCTTCTGACTGTAGTCCTTGTTCTTTTTTTGGGGCCTATTTCATTTGGTATGTTTTACAGTATTCTGGTCTCTTGTCTTTTCCCCTCTCCCCCTCCTTGGCTGGGACTGGATTCTTTTCTGCATTCAGAGCATTTGCTCTTGGATTTCACAGGAAGTTTTTTAACTTGTCCAATTCACTGGGTTTAGAGTTTTAATATTTTATATGACTATTTTTCTATCACTAAAATAGCAGCTAGAGGCATCCCAGCTGAGGTCAAGACCTTGCTGTACAAACTAAAGTAGGAGACAAGCTTGCTCCCAGGTGCTTGGAGGGCAACTGGTGTTTGGGTGCCTGCATAAATCGTGGGATTAATAGCTGCATATTTCTACAGGTTTTAGGCTAGGATGCCAAAGCACTTCTCACACACAAATAAATTTAGCCTCCTTTCCTCTATGAAAGTCAGAGACTTGGTTCTGCAGTAACACTTTCCCCCTCTCTAATTCCCACACATGTACTTGTTACTGACATATATATGACTCTGGTCAATATAGGTGCTTAACTTTTTAAAGAGCCTGTGTAAGTCACTAAGTGCATATTGATTTGAAGCAAATGTAAATTAGAATTAATTTTGACTTGCTAACGTAGTCAAATAAGGAACGTTTCTATTGATCTCTGTCCCAGAAGCCAATTATCTGGATTAAGTGTTTTTATTACGTGAAATGCAGAGCATAGTATATATCATTCTGCATTGATCAGTGTGAAATTGCATATTTAAGACAAGGACTGTAAGTAAGAGTAGTTAACAAGAGATTTATTTTTAAAAACCATATCTTGTTTTATTTACCCTCTGCTCTTCCCTGTGCGAATGCTGTGTTTGTAACTACCGCTGAATAGGAGGCTGTTGATGCATGTGGATCAACAGGGATTCCTGTTCATATCATTTCCATTTCAGCTTCCTTCCCTTTCACTCTGCTCCATCTATACTGTGTGTTCCCCCTCCCTTCTGTCTTCCCAGCCCCCTTATCCATATTTTCTACTCCTTAGTGTTGAGCAGTTCTTGCCGTACTGTGCTGTGCATGAAAAAAATGCTTTCTACATTGAATAAATACATTGCAGCGATCGCTCCTGCAAGCAGGCGCTGCTCAGCATCAGGAGCATTTATTAGTACAGGTGATGGCTAGAAAAAGTGTGCTGAATACACACGACAGGGATGCTGTAGCCAGTGCCGGGGGTACGGGCGCCGCCGGCCCCTTTGCGGCCGCTCTGCCGGGGCCCAGCAGGCGGCGGGGGCCGCTCCTTCCCCGCCGAGCCCCCGGCTCGCCGCTGCCATCTCGGGAGCAGGATGCGGCCACGGCGCGCTGGTACCAGGCTAGCGCTTGCAAGACGGCGACCTCCAGGAATCGCTCTTCCTCCCGTTATCCAAAGACTGACATTCTCTGTATGTATCACTATAGCGGTCCGTGCCTCAGCCCCGCAGCAACTTAATAATCTTGGTAACATCCTGCTCTCAACTCATTTTCTTGGCAGTAGTTTTAATTACGTTTCGGGCTCCTGAATGAATTTGTTTTCTCTGGATCCTCGGTATATTGAGACGCTTGTCACGTTTGGGTGCCTGCAATCACTGATGCGTTTGTTTTAGGGGATGAATTAGTCTTCTGAGCCTGAGCATGTCCAATTTATGAATTAGATTTCATTGAAAGCTAGAACAAAACAAAACAAGAAAAGGTTCTGCTGTACCACTTTTCCTCCCCACCACCTCGTCCCCAGCGCGGAGATAAAAACCTCGCATTTCCATTTCTCTCCTCACACACGGATCGTGTCCCGGGCTCGAGCGTGTGGAAGGAGGAAGGGGCATTCCCTCCACCTCCCGCTTCGGCGCGGTGCCCCCGCGCCGCCCCTCGTCGCTGAAGTTGGAGGAGCGGCAGCGGGCGCAGCCCCGCGCCCTTACCTGCGGGGGCGTCCCGCGGTGCCGGGCCGGGCGGGGGCTGCGGGAGGCCACGCAGCGCTGGCCACTCTCCGGGCAGCGGCTGCGGCCCCGCGGAACAGCCTGCGCCCGGCAACCGGGAGCTGCCCACCCGCCTCGCATCCCTGCGCTTGGAGCATCCTTTCCCTACCCCTTTCCTCGGGTGACATACATTATAGATAAAGATATATATATATAGTAAATCTCCTCGATCGCGGGCAGCTGCCCGGCTGGGCGCTCCCCGCAGCGCTGCGCGCTCGCCCGGCGCGGCCCGTGCGCCCCGCTGCCCGCCCGCCGCGCCGTGCCCCGGCGGCACCGAGCGCCGAGGCTCCGCAGTCACGTGGCGCGGGGGGCGGGCGGCGGCGGCGGGGGGGCCGCTCCGCAGTTCGCGGTCTGCCGGCGCCCCGGCACACACCGAGCGCTGGAGGCTCCGCCGCGCCGCCTGCCAACCCGGGATCTACCTCCGTGATTTTCTAGCCCCGGTTTTTTTTTTTTTTTGGCTTTTTTTTCCCCCCCTCCCCATCACCCGTTTTCCTCAATCTTGGACAATTTTTGGGGTGCTGGGAGATTTTGGGATTTTTTTCTAAGAGGGGGGTGCCTGGGCATCTCCCCCCCCGCGCCCGCTGCCTTGGTCCACTGCCCTTGCGCCTTTTTTTTTCCTTTCCCCCTGTCTCTCCACCAAACCCGGGCTGATGTGCTGTGCGAGAGGCTGGAAATGGAAGTGTTGATGCTCTGGCTTTTCCCCTGGATATTTCAGTGCGTTTCGGTGCGGGCGGACTCCATCATCCACATTGGTAAGAGAGGGAGCGGGGGGGGGGTTGGAAAGGGACGCGGTAGATAAATAAATATATAAAGGAAGCGTCTCGTTAGCTGCGATAATGTCACGGGCAGCGGTGGAACCCAACTCCGCGGAGAGACAGGAGGACGGATGCGAGGAAGGCAGCTGTATTCTGCCCGCGGTTGTAAAGTTAGGGCCGAAATGCCGCCTGTGCGCCGGGCAGGGGACCCGCCGGGGCCGCCGCTGCGGTCTCCCATGTGGCTGGGGAGTCTGTGCTTGGACCTGTTTGCGTGGAAGGGCTTTCTTCCCCCCCACCCCCCGCCTCCTCGCCACCGAAAACAAACAACCGCCCCCATCACCCGAGCAGGAGAGAGGCATAATCTGAACGTGCTCGCAGGGAAAACTTTCGGGGAGATAATCCCCTGGTTTCCATCCCCTGCCGTAGCAGGTGTCAGCCAAGGCGGAATGCGGGGGGCGGAGGGGGGAACTTGGCTGGGAAAGGGTTAGAAATGCGAGCTTTGCAGCGGCTCTGTGTGAGTGTGTGCGTGTGTGTGTGTGTGTCTGTGTCTATGCGCGCAACTGTTGTGGTTTGAATAAGATCTCATTAAAACCCCTGGGCAGCAAGAAGGCTGGATCAGTGGGAGGAAGAGAGGGATGAATAAGAGGCAAAGGAAAGGCTGATGTGAACTTTTATGGCTTCTGGGAGCAAGGCACGGTGATGTCCGCGGGAAGCCTGGCAAGCAAAAGCGAGGCTCTGCAGTCACCTTTTGGCTGGTGTTGAAAGGTACCAGCAGGAACGAAAATGAGGATGTTTAGGGGCGGAGAGGGGGAAGAGAATCACTTGTAGAGGATGATAGAGGAGGAAACGGGAGTATGTCCGGGAAATGAAAAGCCGTAATTCCCACCAGCCTTTCGGGGAGGATGGGAGATCAGAAAAAGGAGGGGGCCGGGGTAGGAGCCATCCTGGCGAGGAGAGGCTCCACGGATACGGGAAGCAAGTCCCGTGTGGACCCGAGGCAAGGAAGGGGAGAAGGGGACCAGCCCTGTAACAAGTTTCCCGGCACAGACGGTTCCCGGGCCGGTGGGAAGGAGGCTCCGGTCGTCGCCGCTCGCCTCCGGAGCCTGGGGGCGCAGCCAAAGCAGACAGCATTGCGGAGCCATTAAGGAGACGGGGTCAGCCCTGACCGCAGCGGGGGACTCCGGCCCAGGGGCAGGACCCCCACGGCACCGGGGCCAGCGCCGCGGGGAGGAAGGGAGGCGGCAGGGCCGGGGTAATAGGGTGGGTGAAGGAACCTCCACGGGTCTCTCTCTCAGCACCGCTTCTCTTGCGCGTGGACCGTGTCACTTCGGCTTCTCCCCGCACGAACTTCAGCCGGAGTGCTGTTTGCTAACTAAGTGCTGGGCAGGAGCGGGGAGCTGCTGTGTGCAGAGCTGGGATGCACACGGGCAGTGCACGGAGGCTCAAGCCACAGGCACGCACGGTGTGAATCAGCAGGACTTTTCCAGGCTGGGGAATAATGTTTTTGCTTGTTTTGTTGCCAGCTCTCAAGATCTCCCAGCGCCGCGTAGAGCAGGGCAGTAAGCCTGGCGTGGGCACACTCGCTCCGGGGAGAGGGATTTTATGTAACACACATCGCCAGATGTTTTCACGTTAACTGCATAAACAGGACAGTGAAATTAAAGCTTCCAGGTTACTGGACACAAATCCCGGCTTCACGTTCGTGTGTGCTCCTAAGCCTCAATAAAACCGCGGCCGGAAAGGCAGCATCCCAGGGACAGGCGAGCAGCGAGCAAAAAGTTGGTGGAGTTTCCAAGCCTGCTCCCTTTCCCGGCACTGGTGGAGAAAGTCCATCACCCCGCCGTGCCTGGTTCAGGGCTCCGTAATTTGCCGTGGAGCAGAAGTGACCGGGAGGAACGCTGCGCTGCCCCGTGCCCGGGACGAGGCCGCTCACGTGTGTGGCCCGGCCCCACCCGGTGCCGTGCGAGCCGGCTGGAGCCCTGCACTGCCCAGAGGGGAGTGGGGGTCCTGGGCAAGCCCTCCTCACCCTCTGCCGCCTTCCTCCCCTCAGGTGCCATTTTCGAAGGCAATGCTGCCAAGGACGATGAAGTGTTCAAGCAGGCGGTGTCGGATCTGAACCTCAACGACGACATCCTCCAGAGCGAGAAAATCACTTACTCCATCAAGCTCATAGAGGCCAACAACCCCTTCCATGCGGTGCAGGAAGGTGAGCGCCTCGGGCGGCACCCACGGCGCGGGGGGCTTGGGTACGCGGACGGGACGGGGCTGAGGGAGGATCGTCCCGTCCCATCGGCGGGGAGGGGCCGCCGGTGACAGCCCGGACCTGCCCTGGCGCTCGGCTGGAAACTTTTCTTCGGTCGGGGGTTGGCGCTGTCTTACAAGGAAAGGGGAGGGACGGCGCGGCGGCGGCGCCGTGCCCAGCCCAGCCCGGGCGGGCCCGGCCGTGCGCGCAGGGTGCCCGGGCCGGGGCGGCAGCCGCGCTGCGCAGGGACGGCAGGGCAAGGCATGGGGGGCTGCACAGCGATCCTGGCTCCCCCACTGCCGAGGGCAGGCAGGGCCACGTCGCACCGCTGTCCCCGTGCTGCCAGCACGGCCACGCGTTGGGACAGGGCACGGGAAGGGTCCCGCCCGCAGGGAGGGAGGCGGTGATGCGGCACCGAGGGGCCGGGCAAGGGGTCTGACTCCGGCCGGAGCGGCCGCGGAAGGTGCGGGCACACACCGGCATCTCTCCCCGAGCATCCAGGGAGGCAGGGCCGGGGCGGCAGCGTGAGCGTGGAGCTCCCTCGGGAGGCCGGGCAGGGAGTGAGGGAGCCGGCTGAAAGCCTTCCCACAGTTTGCAAGAGCTGAAAAGTAGCTCCGTTGGTAAATCATTCCAATTAGATTTTAAATTTTAATTTTTTTTTTTTTTTTGCGAAAGGGAAACGTTTAAATTAATCAGCTTGCCTTTACAAATAAGACTTTAAAAAGATATTATTTGTGATTTAATGAAGAGAAGGTTAATTATGGCCTAGGTTATTTAAGAAGCTGTATTTTTCAGTAGTAATTATTCTAGAAACAGAAAGCTATTTATATACCCAGACTAGAATATTTAAAAAATGATTCATCACCAGCCTTACCCTTAGTTTTACAGAGCACAGCGAATCTTTCCCGGTATGAAGATTTGCATTAATCCATATGTATTTATGTCTAAGTTGTGTACATGTAAATTATGGCTACAAAATTATACCAAATGTTAATTTTCATGAACTCTGAGCAATTTCTTCTGCTCGCTCTTTTCCTTAGAGTAGGTGCTAGTTAATATTATCTGGAGAAACAGCAATATATCTATTTCCAAGGGCCTCATCCCACTAACAGTAAGATTCCTTTAGCTGCTCTGAAAACTTAGCAAGGTGCTACGAAAAAAATCTTTATTAAAATGGGAAGAAGAGGACTTGAAAGCAAAACTCCACCCACATATTCCAACACCAGAGGAAACCAAAAATCTCTAAATACTGGTGGGTTGATTTATTGGCAAAGAATAACTGAACAATTGGATCTTCTTACATTTGCAAAAACTCAGTGTCCTATATTGGAGCTTATTCATATTCATGGAAGTGACAGTAGTTGGCTGGCTGAACAATAGCTTTCAACAGTGTCTCTTCTCAGAAGTAAAACTGTATGAAACCATTTTGAATGCCCAGCGATCTGAGCTGGCAGTCTGGTGGATGGGGTCCCTTTGCTCAGTTTTGTTAAAAGCAGGAAAGCATGACCTCGTGGAGGATTCTTCTTGGTCTAGTAATACTTTTTAAAAATTGAGTTATTTGCTAACCTCGAAGATTGGGATTGCATTTATGAAGACTACAATAATAACAAATTATCGTTGTTGAGTTTCCATGCTGCATCCATAGAAAAGGGCCTGGTCAGATTTTCAGCCATTTTGTTACAGGTGCTTTGTGCTACCTGAATATATGTAAATAAAGATATTTTCTACTGTCCCTTCCAAGATGCTCTTTCACTGCCCATTGATTTGCTCTTTGATGAGCTGATAGCATGCTGGAGAATTAAGTGGTTGATGATTCTTCACTATTCCAAAAAGAACTTGTTCTCTATCGCTGCTTCATTAAGGCACACCATGGTGTTTTCTTTTGGGAGTATTGTGGAATGATCCTTTATGCAAGTAAAAGCTTGCCACAGTGGGAGGCCTAAGAAAACTGTCTGACTCTGCTCAATTTCCTGGCTTGCTTTGTTGGTTCAGGTCAGGTCTTTTTTTTTTTTTTTTTTTTTTTTCAGATTTAATTTCCTACCTTTGAAATTGTCATCCATGTGGGCAGAGTAATCCATGGGACGTACAAGTTGCTGGTCTGTTCTTACTGAGCAGTGTCTCATTGACCAGTGTTACTTGATGTTGTTCTGATTATTCAAAATCTCATTGTATCTCACTGTTTGGATGTCCTGCTCATTTTGGCAAAATACTGCATGTAGTAGTCAGAACAACCTGGAGCAAATCTGCTGCCCAGACTGCTCACAGAATCTTGCTGCCACTACATAAAACGCCCTGACATCCACATTATTCTTCTGCAGCATCTTCCCAAGCAGTGGCATGGAAATCAATGTTGCAAGCCTTAGCTTCACAGGGGTGGAACTTTTTTTACAAGTGAAAACCAATTTGGAATAAAAATAGACCATTGTCTGTCACCACCAGAATAGTTCACGTAAGGAAACCAATCAAATATTGTTTTTATTTGAAGTGTCTTTTGCACAGTCCTGTAAGATGACATTGTAAATTATCCTTAAGTCCTTTTAAAAGAGAACTTTAAAGAGAGACCTTCATTTCAATGCTATTGTGCTGGTAGAATTACAGAAAGTCATCATTCCACATAACAATGTCTATTACACAATGATGAAACTTTAATTACTGACATAGTTCTAGCATGTGTTTGTCCTGGCATTTACGGTGCAGTTAGAGAACATCTGCATGAGTAGGAAGCACAGAAGAGTAGTACCAGCAGGGTTTTCTTAGAGGAGCAATGCATTCACAGAACTAAAGGCCAAACAAAAGAGTAGTTTTCAGTGCTGGATGTGCTGAGATGTATTGCTAGATTTTGGGGAAAAATAAAAAAAACTCTAGGGACTTTGCTATAGTGAGATAAGGGAGCTATAGTGATAGTCTCTGGTGACTGAAATCGGTAAATAAAATTCAGAGATACTTTTTCTTCAAAGACTTGGTGGACACTCATGTTAACAGTTGTGTCAGGTACCAGAGAACTGCAATTAACAAAAAGTATAAATTTTGTTTCCTTCTTTGTCTTTCATTTCAATGTATATTGCATAAACAAGATCCTATTGTGCTGATGAGTAATGAGATTGTTTTGGTCCCATCAAGCTCATTCTATAAACAAAGTGCAGCACATGGGTGCAAGGAACTCCAGTGGCAAGGGATGGAACAGTAAAGAATGAACAGACCCTGGTGTATGCATAAAATAAGCCTTGTTTTGTCTGCCCTTGCAAGCAGTCGTTGCATTTGGTAGAATATTGCTTTTATGTATGTGGCAATTACTTGAGGGAAAAATTGTTTTTCACTGACTGTTATGGGAGGAAATATACGTGGGGAATCATTGTTCTTTTCATGTGATTTAGAGAAATAAGCTCAACCACAAACGTAAAGTTAAACTAGATTCTTGCTTCCAAAAGAGTTATGTGCTTAGTTTCAGTTAAGTGATTGCAGTGTGAGCTGGTTTTTGTGTGGCCTCTATTTAAACTAGTGCTGTAGTAACCTTTTTGTGATTCAAGGATTCAAATAGGCTCAAAGCTACTTTTTAAGCTTTCTATTCAAATTGAGATTTCTGAGCCTGTCATTGGTGCTCAGAAGGGACTGATGTACAGATGGCAAACAGGTTTTTGGATGGGCTTGAAAATGTGATGGCATATTTAAACTAAAAAAAACCCAAACAAAACTGACCTGTAAGTTTTTAAAATGGTGTTTTCAAAGCATTGCTGCTTTCATTGTTAGCTGTAGGTCAAAACTGGGACATGAGAAAGCTAATACTTGCGATTCGTAGCACCCTTAGGAGAAAGAATCCAAAGGAGCTTGTTAGTCAGAAACTGCAAAACTTTAAACCCCTTTTTCTCAGTGGATGATGCTTACACATCTATGGAGCTTTCCTGGAGCTGAAACTTGCTGTTCTCTCTGCATAGCAATTTCAAATGAATTGTTTCTAATTTGAGAGGCCTTGTATGTGTGCTTGTTGTTGTTAAAATGCTGTCAGTTCTGGAAACCAGAACAAATTTGGAAAATCAGAATGTGATTTGAGAGCAAGAATGGTGTTCCATAAATGGATTTATTGTCAGTCTCATAGACACTGCTGTGGTTTCAGAGCAACTCAGAGCTGCTGAGTTTTTGGGTGTCTGTGCTGTATACCATTGAGTGAACGTGATCTGTTATCATAGTCTGTAGCACTTGGTAATGGTATATACTTGACATAAAATAGAATAGACAGAATAGACTATTGGAAGTGACCTACAACAATATCTAGTCTAGCTGCCTGAATAATTCAAGGCAGACCAAAAGTTCAAGCGTGTTGTTAAGAGCAATGTCCAAATGCCTCAACCACTGACAGGCTTGTGGCATTGAGCACCTCTCTGGAAAGGCTGTTCCAGTGTCTGGCCACCCTTGCAGTAAGGAAATGTTTCCTCATGTCCAGCTGAAAGCTCCCATGACACAGCTTTGAGCCATTCCCACACATCACGTCACTGGATCTGAGGGAGAATAGATCAGCACATGGCTTTTGATCTCTCTTGTCTCAGCACATATATTTAATGTTACAACCACAGTTGCTTTCTACAGTTTTATTTGTTAAGAAGGTGTAAGCTGATCAAATAAGATGAAATACAGATCTGGAGAACCAGATTCAGCAGCTCCATTGCTGTTTACATTTATTTGTGAAATACTGCACGTACAAATTAATAGGGTTTTTATAATCATCATTATTTAATTTTTTTTAATTAAAAAGAAAAAAAAAACCAAACCCCAAAACTTAATTGATTTGACTGCTCTGGCTTGGGGAATTGGGTGCATAGGTAGGACCTATAGGCTGTACCTAGATTTTAAAGTAAAGCATTAGAAAAAAAATCTCATCTGCCAGAATTGCAAAGGATTGGTTTATATCGATGTACTGTCAGTTTTTCTCCAGTGTTTTCTCTTGAGTCTTTCACTGTCAAATAACTTTA